ATATCCTTTTGTGTGCCGTTAAGAATGGGTGTAATACTGCCAAGAAGACTTCTCAAGAACAAGTCTAACTGTTCTGGCATTTCCGGGGCGCATTCCTTCAAAGTTTGCACTGTCGCCGGATTAGGTGTCCTGGTTTTTGGAAGCTTCATAATTTGAGATCTGAGATGTAGAGCGGCCCATCTTAATTTGCTATTTTCTTCGTACCGCTTCGAATCTTCATGAAGGCGAATATGGGCTTCCTCTTCTGGAATATCAGAACTATGGATACAGTTACCTTTTCGCTGGTTTACCAGTGTTATCGTAACTCTATCCTTCAAATGATCTTTTATCTTTCTAGTAAGATTTTGAGCAGTGTAAACCGGTACATCTGATTCTGTCCCACTTTCCCCAATACTGGCGTATTCCTCCTTGTACATGGCAAGTAAATCACTGACGAATATTGTTCGATGCTTTGCCAAAACTTCATCCTGGATAAAGGAAAGTAAAGATGCAAATGCCATTTTGTGACAGGACTGCGATGATGTCGTTTCCATGGGTTTATCTTGTTTGTCGGTATCTTTCAAAAACTGTACACGGCAGGATTTGTGATACTCTGCTTCTTTTGCAATAAGGTCTACACCACTCCGAACAAGACTCTTTATATGTTCGTTTTTCGAAAACTTTGCCCTATGGTAGAGTGACTCGCAACCGGCAATTGTCGCAACCTTCAGTCTGGGCTCGTCTTTTCCATTTTTCTTTCTTCGACTTTTACTGCAGAAAATGCAAGTCCCTTTCAATATACCTTGCCTATCCGACTTCGGAAACGCACTGGAACGTCTTGTCTCGGTACACCGAATTTTTGTCGCGGATTCATCATCTGGTGCCAGATCTTCTTTCGCACGTTTTACTGCTGTGTAACTCTTATGGCAGGAAGCGTGATAGCCGATAGATAAGGATTCACGATCAGTGCTAGACAAAATTGTTTGTGTAACCCCAAGGTATTTGTCAGATTTCAAATTCTTGCACAGGGCAGCAACATGCTTTATTGTTGTCCATGTACTGTCACTAAATTTTCTTAGGTGACCCTTCTCGTCAGAGGAGTCGGTTAAATGGCAGACGTAGCAGCTTAAAATACTCTCGCTTTCGTTGTTCTGCAATATATGGCAACATTTGTGTAACGAAATTGTCAAATTTTAATTAGGTAAAAATTATGATTACTTTGATTAATATACAGCTTAGTACTGCTTGGAATATTATAGATACACAATCATTTGGAAGAACTGTTATATGTAGTCTATAGAAGATGAAGATCAAAATGGGAAAATGTGGTCATAGTTGCAGGTTAAAGTTAGGACTGTTCGGTATACCGATATATCGAAAATATCGCTATTAAATCAATATCGGTATATCGATACCGGATATTCAACCATACCGATACACCGAAATTTCCGATAACTGGAATTTTTCGGTATACCGTGTTAAATTAACCAACTATATGGCGAAACCATAACCTTTATTTTACTACTGAATGGCAATTCAAAGAACTTTCTACTGCAATGATTTAGAATTTCCACTTCAGTGAGATTTTACACTGAGTACGTGTCTTTCGAAACATGTTCGAAACAGCTTCGAAATTATCGTTCTCCCTTTTAGAATTACTCAAAATTTCCTTCAAATTTACCGATAATACCGGTATAATTTTTTCGGTATACCGATACCGGAAATTTCTCATACCGAACATTCCTAGTTAAAGTTGGTAAATTGTTGGAGAAACGCTGGAAATTTCCCGGAACATTTTTTACTGTTTGGCTCAATTGTTTGGAAAAGTTGGTCAAAACAACTCGACAACCCCCCCCCCCCGCGCCCCAAATGTTAATAGCGAGCTTAAACAAGCGAGGTTTTTGTCAACACGGACGCCAGAGTGCCGAGGGGAAACTGGATTAAAAACTGTGTTTGCATCAGTTTGTATTAATCTTTTTACACATAAGATTTTTAAATTTTTTGCTTCTTTATACGAGCGCTATGATACAAAATGCATGCAAAATGAGTTATATCAACGTTCGTGTTGACAAAAACGTCGCTCTTGCTTAAGCTCACTAATGACTTCGCAACGTCCCTGGAGAAACAAAATCGAAAGTAGACAATTGTCCTTTTATCTGCTGTATAGTTATGTTCGTTATGTTCTTATGAAAAAAAAATCGTGGGGGAAAGTTGGTGAATCAATTATAAAACTTTCTATCGATAAAATTAATGATTGTCATAATGAGATTTGTTTTTGAGCATTTTTTGTGAAATAATTTTTGGGGGAAACATTGGGGAATCCGACTTGTTTTTATGCCATTTTTTTCAACATACCTGTTGATTGACAATACTGGCCGATACACTATTTATTTCTTGGGCCAAAGATTGATTTTCGGTCGAAAGCACGCTTGTTTCTGCTGCATCCATACTTCTAAGACATGATTATGTAAATTTTTCTTCTTTTAATAAAGACGTGTTTCTATCATTCTGTGTTTCCACATGTTTCTGTGCTTCCACTTCATGTGAAAAAAATCCCGCTTTTTTAACAACTCCTTAGATTTTCTTTGATTATACACGGAAATTATCTCGAAATTTCCAACATTAGTTTAACGTAATTCTGGTGAACCCATCTCCTGCTCAAAATGGTCTGGATGTGACCTTTCTTTAACAGCTGATCTAGCTCAATTTTGAGAGTCAGCATTCAAGGACGTCTGGCAAACCCACCCCCCTGATTAAAATGTCTGTCAGTGGTCATTTATGACTCCTGGCACTACGCTGAACATTTTGCACTTACTTTCGTCGGGTTTCCTCGCCAGCTGATCTAGCTCAATTTTGGGGTCAGCATTCAAGAACGTCTGGCGAACCCACCCCCCTGATAAAATTGTCTGTCAGTGGTCATTTATGGCTCCTGGCACTATGCTGAACATTTTGCACTAAGTTTTGTTGGGTTACATCACCAGCTGATCTAGCTCATTTTGCGGCTTAGTTTCTCACTCCCCCCTGACCACATCCACCAGTGTGTGTCCGGCAGACGTCCATTTTCTTAGATCACTAGGTACATAGACCAATGCAGTATGCATAAAAATTGGTAACCTTTCCAGCTAAGCTCATACCCCTGGGCTCCCGGTCTATTCCCATACTGTTTCATTTATACTTTCATATATAGCGTGTAACAGTAAGATGGTTGGGCTAGATGGCTGTTTAGGTAGCGGCGGGGAAAGGGAATGATTTTGGGAGGGGTATGTTCTCACAATATTTCAGAAAGATAAAGTATCTAACCCATGACGGCTGAACATATAATTTTGAGATCGCAGGCGCGCTGTGTATGTACTCGTGGGTGAAGCTAGAAAACCGAGAAATTAAAACAGTATGTCGAAGAGAAAAAATCCTAATCAGCGTGAGAAGTGGAAAGAATTATATACAAATATTTCAAAGAAAAGAACGGGAAAGAAATCTGGATTGGGGAATTCTGCTCCTGAAGTTCTTACTGTTCAACGTTTATCGGCGGAAGTAGAAGGTAAATGTAAAAAATATTCCCGAATCGGAGCGTTAACTATGGTACCGTTTGGCGAGGAACTGTCGATGGAAAACGTAAAAAAAGCATGTTCAAAGCATTTTAATGTCTCGAAGCACATGGAGTGTGATGTATTAGCGGGGGAGAGGGGACCATCGTACACCGATATTAACCAAATTTCAAATTTGAAGCTACTCCACATGCGATTTGTTGAAAAAAGCTACAGTGTCGAAGTCAATGATCGTGAAGTGAAACCGGAAGTGGTGGTTCCATCCTCATCTTCTACATCTTTCCCGAAAAACTGGTGGGAGACGGCCCCACTACGTGCATCATCATCGCCATGTGCATCATCATCGCCTTGTATATCCAAAATGCCTGCGCCAGTGCCACTCAGTGCCATGATGAATTTGGGTAAATTCATTCCGCCAAAGCTGAGTCGGGGCCTGGTCACATTGCAGCTTGAAGATTTTTCGGTGGAGGAAAAAAAATGGCTTGATCCGTTCGATGTACGGTTATCTCTGAAAAGGGAGAAGTTTGCATCCGGGGGATTCAGGGATGCATTTGAGTGCACTGCATTATCTGGCCTTAAAGGGAGATTTGTCTTGAAGAAGTATAAAGAAGATCAAGTTCAAAGCATTATTGCTAATTTTGGATCACTGGAAATTCATACCAGAAAAGTGGTTCAAATGCATGCTTTAGCAAGGCATTTCACGAAATGCTTGAGCAATGAAATACCCCCAGATTTTGGCACTTCGTTCCTTTACAACAAGCTTTATTATGGTAAGCTTGATGAGCAGTGCATAACCATAGAACAGTACCTTGATGGCGATTTTCGTAAATACATCAACAACACTGGTGAAATTATTGTTTCTGATGGTAGTGATTTGGCATTAAAGTCTGAAATGTTCTCTCATTATACCTATATCAAGTCGGGGAAGCGACTTATGGTACTCGATATCCAAGGAGCTGGCTATTCACTCTGTGATCCTGAGATTGCAAGTGCAGAGTTTACTGACACTGATGACAACATTTTCTTCTGCAATGGCAACCTGTCACATGATGCGATTTATTCCTTTGTGTCACAACATGTGTGCAATCAATTCTGCAAACTCCTTCATTTACATGAAAAGTGAGGTGAACATTTGTCTCGTAACTATGAACCAATTCTGCAAACTCCTTTTACATGAAAAGTGAGGTGAACATTTGTCTCATGACTATGAACTGTTATTTAACATTGGTTTTTTTTTGTCTGCAAAGGTATACAATGCTCACTGTTCACGTTTTTGAATTGTGTTATTCCAATTAATATCTGCACCAACAGCCCCACCCGTTTGAGGACGTGTTGGAATTTCCACATGTTTCTTTCCATGTAATTTCCCAACATTTTTTTATGAACTTCTAACCTATCCCATAAAAATACCTTGATATTTTCTGACATAGCTGGTGGAATTCCTATATGTTTTCTTTGATAACTTTGAAAATTGGGTGTGTGGATATTAATTGGAATTGACCATTGTTGTGTTTATTGTTCAAAAAAGGCTAATACTTTTGTGGTAATATATGCCAACTTTTATACAAACAGGAGTACAAATCTCATATTATTAATGGAATAGATTTAATTAAAGAAAAAACTGTTTGAATGTACATATAGGATGTTGGTCTTTGGATAAAGTTATCATTGGACAAGAAACACAATTCACTGGCAGAATTGTTACAAAACTCTTGCTAAATCAATATTTGCTTTCAAATACAGGTATGCATTAACTGCTTCTGCCGGTGCTATAGCATCAACATTGGGAATGTGACGCTCGCATTCATGCCGGACATTCTCAGTGAGAAAGTCATCGGCTTCTTCTAAAACATTTGAAAGCTCTGCAACTTGTTCAAGTTGTTCCTTTGTAACAGGTAGACCATGCTTCTGGCCACCATATTTCTCGGGGAAACTGTATATGTGTTCCGGAACACCCACCGGTAGTTCTTTGTCCCTTTGATACCGACTTCGGTGGTTATTCCAAATTGATGTTCGAAATATATCCAATTCTTTTTGTAGCACAGGTATATAAACGAAAGCCAGCATATTCCTAATGACAGAATACATATTTTAGTTTGCTTAGGAAGTGGTCATTATTTATAGGGAAAATAAAGATTGAAACTTTTTTACCCCCTACCACCTGCTTCCAGACTGAAGACAAACTTTTGTCCCCCCCCCCCCTCATAAAAGTAGAAACTTTTCTGACAGTGTGAATTAAAAAATTAACAGCAATGAAACATGTAGACGTTGCAGGTAAAGTTAGATATTAGGACAATCTGTTTAATCTAGCTCATGTTTTACCCAGGTGAATATGACAACCTCGCAAGCAAGGGCCTTGCTTGCGAGGTTGGTGAATATGATTCAACCATATAGGATTTATTTACTTTGCAATGCAACATTTGTCATACTCTATTTGTCTACCATAACCCTAACTCATGGCCCGTTTTCATAGAGCAAAATGATTTGAACACAGGGCTATTTTTTAAGAACTTGTCTAGGGGGGGGGGCATCTACAAAAAGAACCACACTATACTGAGTGTGGAGAAATGACAGGTGGTTGTTGGTGACAAAAAGTTTGGTGTGGTATTGTATGTACTAGTAGGGGGGTCTGGGGGTATTCATCCCCCAGAAAATCTTTTGTTTTGTATTTTTCCACCCCTAGGACTGAAATTTGAGCATTTTCTGGAACAGATATTTGGATATACAGCGTTACATTGTGCTTTGATAGACCGATTCTCATTAGTTAAGTACTTGCATGGTATGTTTATGTAATTACCACAACTGGGTCACTCAAAGGGTAGGAAGCTTGTTAAACTTAGTGGACCTGACTCCCATGACCTACCATGGTTGGTACAGAGCAAGGAAATTTTGAAAATTTCGAGTCTCTAGATCGTTGGAAATGGCATTTTCAGAGTCTTGTTCACCTCTTTAGCATTATGATTTGTGAGTCTATGCTATTTGTGATTATAGAAATCAGAACTCTAGACATGGTATTTAAGTTCAAAAACTTTTTTGACCACCCCGCCCCCTCTCAGATATGAAGATGCCATCAGGGGCAGGTGAAATTTTTGTTTGCCCAGCTAGGGCAATGTCACTTGGAGAAGCATTGAATGAACATTAAATGTACCCCAGGTAGGTACAATGGGCAGGTACAATTAATTTTTAGTTATACTTCAATAATCACAGGCCAGGGACAAAAATAGGCAGTGTTCATCGCTAGTAGTTTTAGGATTTGCAAATTTACAATATAACGTACGAGTAGGACTACATGGGCAATATTGATTTCAATAATGTATTAGAATATGATGATTAAATTGGTATGGATGTTGCTATCAATTGCGCAGCTTACCTGTGACTTGCATCATCACGGTCATATTGTCCATCTTCTATAAGACCGTTCAGTTGCTGTTTGAAATATCTCTCCATTCTTTCCAATAGCTCCCTCCACCATCTTTCTATTTTGTTTTGTGTGGAAGGACCATACATTACACTATCTGTTGCATCACATCCATGCTCACTTCTGAGGTAAGAATGCATTGTTGCTAAGATGGTTGTCTCTGTGCCCTTATCAACTCTGATCCGACATGGCAAAACTAAGTAATTAAGTAAGTTAACATATAAGATAAGCGATTTTACTTGTTAGTGGCAGAGTACTGTCAGTGACTCAGTGGGGCTGGTTGTTTAAAGTAGTTTTAAATTAACCCACTGTTTTGGTTTATGTAAAAATTCTGTGCATCACTTTAAAAATTAAAATATCATTTTCTGCTCGCTGAGGTAGAAACAAAACGGAAAATGTTTTTTACACTGCTAGGTCAAGCAGATTTTGTTGTTGCATATTTCATTGCTTGATTTTATGGTGGATTTTGTGGGGAAAATATTTTCAATGATTATAAAAATGCAGTTGATAAATTTTCTTTGAATTTTACATTCACAGGATAAAGCAGTGTTAAGCCAATCAGCTTTCCTACAATCAGCACCACAAGTATTAAAAATCAATTAATTTGGGCTGCTTACCTTTGCTGGTAATCAAGTATTCTAAGTAAAAACGACCAATAATTCTTGGGTCACTATTAGTGGTCCAAATTCTTAAAAACATTATTTTACCACTGTAAGTATCTTGACCACCGTATATGCACAGATCGAATGTGGAGTTCTGATATCCACAAATCTTGTCGTGACCATCAAGTGACATGGTATAGTCTGAACCCTACAAATTACAAAAACGGGTTCTTTTTATTTTTAGGTTACAAAGATAACTAAAACTAATTAGCACAATATTCAAAAAACGCAATACTTGATTTAGAGGCTATTATTTTATACCATTGACATAAATCTTTTTGCTCTAACTGGTTGCTTTGGCTGCCCAACTCCTCCTCTTTCTTCCAGTCCTGAAGAGTCAACATTCTCCATCATTGCATAAACTAGATTCCGTGGAACCTTAAGGCCATGTACTTCCCGTACTTTTTTGTGCAAAGCACGGTAACCCAGCAATCGGCCAGGACCATCCATTTCCTCACGTACGGCCTCTTCAACATGGTCCAAATTAGTATTGTAGTCTATGTATGAAATGCCAAAGTGTTTTAATCGACGGCAAAGAGTTCGCAGACTCCAAGCATATAGTGGATACTTTTCCTTTACAAAATCTAACATTTCTTTTCTTTGTAAGTTACTTTCAACATATTTTTGTAAGTCGTTTTTAAGCTCAACGTCTTCTTGCCATCCCTGATCGGCCATTTTGTTTGCGGTGCCCTGCGAGCCTGCGATCTCAAAATTATATCGACAGCAGTAATTGGCATGCATGTGCCGTTGGCACGCCTGGGCCACGACGTGTTTTTTTTTTTTAAATGGCACACCTGGGCCAAGGGTATAAAATATTTTGCATTAAAATATTTTATGAATTAAAAAAAAATCAAAGTTTAGAAATAAATTTTGTTTCGGAAAAAAAAAAAAAAAAAAATTTTAAAAATATATATTTAAAAAAATAAAAAGATATCAAAATTTTCTATGGCACGCCTGGGCCACCATACTTATGGTTTCTTTTGGGTTTCCTTGCCTTACAAAATGTAATTTTTTTTTCTCTTTGATATTGTAAACATTTATTTTTTATTGGCTAAAATAAATTGACTTGACTTGAAATCGCTATACGGCGGATAAACTCGGAGTTTGAAGATAAAACAATGATTATTTCGGATGAAAGAGCATGGGATAGTTATAGAAATGCACAATTATGTAGAGGAGTTATCTTTTTAAATCCAATAAACATGAAAAACTCTTGATGGCTTTATTAGCTCTGAAAGTTACCGAACACGACGTAAAAAGGAGAATTTTTTTACAATGATACAAAGGAAAACTGATTTGCAATTCTCCTTTCGACGTCATGTCCGTCAACTAATAAATCCATCAAGATGAAATTTTTCAATAACAAAATACATTGCAAAGTGTCTTAACATACCCTAAACTTTCGAGATATGCAAACTCCAAAACCCTGATATAGGTACTTTAACGGGCATGCATGGTCTTGAGGTACACTGAGGTCACTTGCTCACTTCAGGCTCACTTGTATAAATTCCGTGGCTTTGCTATATTTACGCACACAAGATACGTACAAATCTGAAACTGCAATACATACAAGTCAGCGGTATTCCATTTTTAAAATTCAAATAAATTAGTGCGCGAAATTGGAAGAAACGCGGGAAACCAAAGCAATATGGCCGAGTGACCGAGTGCTTGTTTGCGCTTCACAAGCAGAAATGCTTGACAAATTTGAAGAGTACAAAGTAAAAACAAGTAGTGGTTGGAGATGTATGAAATCAAATGCACTTTTTGGTAAGTGAACTAATTTCAATATGTAAATTTATCGTATAAATATTCATACGAATACCGTGTGTGCAATATTTTAATATGAAAGGTCTAAATTATGCATACATAAAACCTTTATCGATTTATTGCAGTCCAACACTCATATAATAAAATAGTATGTCTTTATAAAGATCGAAAGATGCATGCGCTTTAGAATTATATCTTAATACTGGATAAAGACCTTTCATAGGGGAGTGAGGGGGGCGGGGCGGTTGGTGATAGATACCAAATATTGAACTTTTTTAGAGCCGCCCCAATCGCAAGACCTTTATTTTCTAGATGCTCCCACCTTCATTTAGAAATTTAGGACCCCCCTCCAAGATTTAAATTGTTACTTAGTTGGTGTAAAATAGGTAATGGTACAAGTACTGGTGTAAGACATTGTGTAGCCTAAATAATAAGAGGACCAGTATTCAAAATGGTTGTATTTACTCTGACTCCTATCATGAACTGCATTATACGTAATAGACCATGAAAATTACGATTATAGGAACTATTAAAAAAAGGTGAAATATTTTGCAATATGATAAAGGTAAGAGATTGAAAATGATTAGGTGATCGTGGGGTTAGCACCTCTTTCGAAAATGGAAATTAGTATCCTCTATCTTTGTTTGTAGGTAGGGCTGGTGTACTGAAGCGGGATTTTCTGTTGGAAAACCACCTGTTCCTTCAATGGTCGCTCCTTTCCTTCCAAGTACTGTTCAACAAGTGATTGTGGTTCAGCAGGTAGCACAACATTTGCATGTACTTTGGCCTTTTTCATTGTTTGGAACTGACTTCTTAATGTAAGGACTTCATCAAATATCAACTGTATATATCCTAGGAAAGGAGAAGATTTTAAATCTCACAATTAAACTTTTTTAGATTGGGTATAGTAGGGAGTAAATTTCTGTATGACTACAAATGCCTATCGCCCGTATTCTAAAAGCTCACTCACACTCAATGAGTGGAGATTCAATCTGAGCTTCTCTTGAGTGTCAGTGCTGTTTTTAAATAGCTGAAGGGTTAGTATCGTACCTTTCTATGTGACTACTCATCCTCCAGCTATTCAAAAACAGCTCAGACTGAACCTCCACTCATTGAGTGTGAGTGAGCTTTTAGAATACGGGTGTATCACTACAAATCATGAGATTGTTTGCTTGCAAGGGTAGGAGGAAATTGTTAACTTATTTTGACAAAATATTTGTCCCACAAATAGACCTTATGCATAATGACGTCACAAGGCTTGATGCCCGTGAGGAGTGCTGGTCTTAGTAGTTATCGCCCGTGAAAATTTCGATATTGGCCATTTTGAATTGTTTAATTTTTCCGGGCGATGACTGCTAAGACCAGCATTCCTCACAGGTATTAAGCCTTGTGACGTCATTATGCACAAGGTCTATTAGGCATTGAAAAATAGATATTTCACTGGCATGATTCTACTTGTGAGATCTTTGGGGAGGGGATTTCTTACCATAAGTGGGCTTTTCCTTTACTGGTTTTTCAACTGCTTTTTCCCCTTTAAATGCCTTTGGATAGGAAATTGCCCATCTTAGCTTTCCATCCGCAGTTGTTGCTTGTTTCCTGTTGCTGTTTTCATTGTAGTGCAAGTTTGAACAGTACAATCTATTAAAACATTAATATTTGTACAAAAATAATAAGCATCCCATATGTATATTATGTTAGTGGCCTGTAACTTTAGTGATTATGTATTAAACAGGGGGCTGCAATAATATAAGACTTTTCCGCATAGTGGGTAGTTCCACAGAGATTCGTAATCCTCTTACAGAGGGGATTTCTACCAGAAGGGCTAGGGGAGAGAAATTTGTTTCTAATCATAATGTATTAGGATGCATCTCTAAATATGTTAGGGGTTGCCTTCTAACTTCCTTCATAGGGCTGGGGGGGGGTGAGAATGTTTTCTGGAAAAGGTGTTATTGCGCATTATCAAGCAAGGAAACTCACTGAATGATAGGAATGGTATGTGTTCTTTGAAGCAAATTGATTGTCCAGAGAATGTTTGGCTTCCAGACCAGATGTCTGGTGGTATTGCGATAGCTTCCTAATTGCTGTGATAAGACGAGGTCTTGTTAGCATCTCCTCCAACTTTTTATAAGAAGCTGATCCTGTAAATATAAGTTAGTATACCATTATATTCATTAGTCTTTAAGCATTTGGGCCAGATTACAGTGGGGCACAATTTTATATCATCTTCAACATTCAAAATAAATCTGGTATTTCCAAACATCCATGTATTTTTATGTTTATTATATAAAGGACAGTCTTTGAAAAGCGATTATTTTCACAGAAAAGTCATAATCGAAAAGCGATAATTTTCACATGTGAGATTATCATAAATAATCTCATGTGTGAGATTATCCGTTTTATCAAGCCTGGAAATTTCTATAAAGCACTATACTTTATATAATTAAATAAGATAAACTTGGTAAATGATGAACTGTGGGCTTAAAGATCCTAATAAGCAACTGTACCCTGTTTGAGCCACTCTCTTTCAAGTGTTCCATGAAGACATTCAACAAAGATCTTATGGCCATCATGTTTGTGAATGTTGACAATATGATTCAGAATGCTGTGCCATTTTTCTTTTCTTTCATCTTCAGTTGAACTCAAGTCACCAACCCAATAGATATGATTAACAATTGACTGTCATGTAAATGAAACAACAAAAACAAATTAAATAAAAATAAAAATGTACTAATTAACGGCTTTGACTCAAATGTACGTTTTTTTAGTCATAATTGTGTATTTATTTACTTACCCCAATCCAAGGTTTAATTGACCTAAATTTCTTTTTCTTTGTAACTTTTATCAATTTCTTCTTTTCACCTTCAAAATATGAAATAAGTGTAAAAATCTTTTTATCACTAATATAAAGTAAAAAATCCTACCAAGTCCACAATCAAGCTACCCTGGGTGCCAGAGCCTCCTGTGATAGAACGAGGACACAACAAGGAGGTTCTGGTCACACGAGCATCCAGACTCACTTTGGTGAGTTCAATATTTGAACTCTGTTTGTGATTGGTCTAAATTTATGCTATTAACTGACGCTCATCGGTTAACCAATAAAAAGACTTGCATAAATATTGACCAATCACAAACAGAGTTCAAAATATTGAACTCACCAAAGTGAGGCTGGATGCTCGTGTGACCAGAGCCTCCTCGTCATGTCCTCACTCCTATCACAGGAGGCTCTGGCACCCAGGGTACAATCAAGCAGATTGAACATGGGATTTTTATTCTGGGGTCGCAAAAACCTGGTAGTATACTAATATGCATTATTCCTATTATTGTATACCTTTTGCAACATGCCAGATATCATAAGAATGCCCAATATCTGGTTTCTCATTTGCCATGTATGATGAGACTTGAATATGAGGATCCGTCACCAACTTGGCCACTTGAACCTTATTGTCCTCTAAGCATTTCAGTTGCCTCTTTAGAAATTCAAGCTCCATGGCATTAGAATTTTTTACCTCTGTTGACTGTAAAAAAGAAGTTATGAAATTGCTATAGTCATTATGCTTGTAGAGACAAAAGCCAGTTTTAGATGTATAGTGTCTAACCTGGTAGAAATCAACTGAGATCAATAATTTAGGTTGTTTGCATATGGCAGAGCATACTGAATCATTTGAATAAAATGTCTTTTTATCATAATATAGTATTTATTTCATTAATTTGTTCTATATATTTCTTACCTTTATTACTTGGGTATCCAATATAGCATTCCTCTTCATTTCCAGTGTGCTTCCCGAGCCAAATAGACCACTATGACCACGACTATCAACACGCATATCCGACACGATTATAGTGGGTTCATCCTCAATCTCTCTTAGTCTCGCAGATTGCTCCACTTGCCAAACTTTGTAAACTGCGGTAACAACATAATTCTTCAAGATCTTGGACAATTGTTGTCTCTTAACATTTGGTATATTTAACACATTAAATAGTCGCAGAACTTTCGCTGATTCCATTCCTGTCACGAGAATACCAGATGCTAACAGTAGATGAAATGCAGGCATTTTGAACAAAGAAGGGCCAGTTGTCCATTCAAAATAATGTTCATTTTCAGCCGTGCACGAGGAGCATGATGACCCAATTTGGTTTTCAATTGACACAACACAATCAAGAATCACAATGACTGCATTTACCAAAAACATCAAGAATAGCTTGTTCAAAAATAATAATTTGATCTGGTCTTGTGCTTTTAGAACTGTTCGTTCATCGTCCTCACTGCTTTCGTCGCTTGCAGTGGTTGACTCCTCGAAGTCATCTTGAGTTACGGACTCCTCGCTTGAACAGCTGCAAATGCTTTCCACGTCAACTTCTGTTTTTGAAGGTTCACATGTTGGCTCTGCCGTGTCGACATGCCCATGCCCATGGTATTTGTGAGGATCTACCGGTTGCACTTTTGAGGTAGACAGATATCCCACTGCAGACTTTGTTTCAAAATGCGATGATGTTGATGCCTTTAGACTTTGAGTCTGCGTTCTTACTGATCTTGTCCCTCGTTTCTTGGTTGTTTGTGTCGACCTTTCCCTGGTGTTAGAAGAAAACATTTCAGTCGATGTACTTGGTTCCGAGCATAGTTCATTTGATAGGTTTGCATTTCCTCTATAAAGGACTCTAATTGTTCAGTCGTTTGCACGCATTCGGGTTCTTCTCTTGAGTAGTCTTTCTTTGGTGATTCGCTGGGATTTAGAAGTTCAGTGAGTCCCTATAAACATAGGTTAATATTTATAATACATGCTAATAAATATCTGCGGCATGTGACTGACTATAGCACTAATTTTGGATCGAGAATTACCTTTATTCTTTGCCTTTTCTTGGTATGAATCCTCCTTTTACTTGTGCTCGTATCCAGCAATGGTTTACTCAACGTTGGCAAGGCATCACTCTTCAATCGTATTTGAAACGTTTTGTCACACCCAACTCGCGCCAGAAACTGTGGCGAATGTCCTGGTTCGTACGCATCTTCGGCAACATAAAGTGAGCAAATTCTACTGTTTGACAATGGTTTAAAAGCTTTGCGTTTGCAGAATTCAACCCATGCCTTTCGTCGATTTTGCTGAGATACGGATATTCCACTTGGAAACCGAAAGAAATTTATCCCACTCTGTTTTTTTTAAAGTCACTATTACAACCGTATACCGGGCAGTACATGTTTTCACCTTCGGCAAGCTCGTATTTAAAGCGCTGCATGGCAAGCTCAGCGCTTTAAATACATGCAGCAAAAATTGTGGTTTCCTTATTAAGCCACACCGAAAATAGTTGAAAATTTCTTCAAAGGTGAATCCGGACGAATGAAGATAAATGTCAGAAATATGCAGTCACAATCTGGCTATAATTTCCTCTATAATGCACTTTTGTTTTTGCCTTGCCTACCACAACACATATTGCTAAATGATTTTCAAAGTTGCTGGTGGCTCGAATTTCGATAACGCAATTTGGGTATAAACTGAATATATACGTAATATTAAATATTGTCTCCCTTATGTGATGATTTTAATAGAAACACATAAATAATGTTTTTTACTGACGAGCAGAAAGTATTTCTGCTGTACAAAATATATTATACCGCTTTTGATCAAAGTTATTTGATATACAAGACGTGTATGTAGCACAAAAATACTGCGTAGCTGTCCAAAATCTAAGCGCAATAAACAGCTAAAGTATGCACGTTTATTGCAAATATTGTGAAACATATCCGCAGAATATTGATACTTGTTAATTACATCATTATTTAAATGTATTTGTTCTCTATCTTTCATTTTTTCAACGAAATACTCTTACAACTTTGGTAAATACAATATGAACTAGAGGGCACTCAGAGACTGCATACCTCCGCCCGTTACTCGGAAGTGAAACGCAACCTTGGAATTTCCTAAGAAATCCACTTTATAATTCTTAAGCATAAAAGATTTCAGGCCCCCGCGAATTGAAATCGAATTGCTAATAGAACATATTACTGTTGTTGTACTGTACAGTACTTGTAAAATAAAAACTTATTAAGTGTCATTAAATAAATGCATAAGTTTTGCTTTATGCACTCGCGCGTGCAGTAATTTTCACAGTTGTGTTATTTTAAATTCCCAGGCAGCTAAAATCTTTTGTCTTTAAAACAATGTCGATTTCTTGGGAAATTCCGAGGTTGCGTTCTTTTTATACACCCTGTATTGAAGTAATCTAATGTTGTTAGAATTTGAATGGACTGGCACTTTGCTGAACGTAATAATACGTAACTCCGTAAGCCTTGTTTTAGACATTGAATTTCGGTCGCGTGAAATGCAACTAAGACAATAGATAATGAAGGCTGAAGCTTAATGAGGTTTATCATCTCATTATTGTCTTAGTACTGCGTGCATAAATTATACACGTCCTAATTACGCATTCAGTAATATTTTTGTTAATTGACCGGGAAAAGCAAGACAAAATTTTGATCATTTCTCGTTCAATTTTTAACCAAATTCAACCAAATTTTAATCAGTTCTTCCTTAGCCGATGGGAAATGCATTCAAAAAATTTTGTATGAATATGTTTGGTATTTCTTGAGTTATCGTGCTCACAGACAAACACACACACATACACACACACACACATACACACACACACACATACACACACACATACACACACACACACACACATACAAACCCAGATGATTACATAACCTCCTGGCGGAGGTAATGATTACATAACCTCCTGGCGGAGGTAACCAGATGATTACA